GCCCCGTCTGGGCTCCACAGTCAGAAATCTGTGGAGGGGGAGCGCGGGGGAAGGAGGAGGAGGAGGAGGAGGAGGAGGAGGAGGAGGAGGAGGAGGAGGAGGAGGAGGAGGAGGAGGAGGGGGAGGAGGGGGAAGAGGGGGAAGACGGGGTCCAGGGCGGGGGCGCGCAGGCGGTCGCGCTCCGCGCGGCGCAGGCTGGGCCTCGGCGCCCGCGCTTCCCCAGGAGGGCGGCGCGAGGAGCGCGGAGGTGGTCGCGGGGAGCGAAGCACGAAGCTGGGTGGCCCGGGGAAGGCGGAGGAGGCGAGTGAGGATCAGATCGACTAGAAGTAAGAGTGACCTTTCGCCGGAGTGACCTTTGGTGCGGGCACAGGTGGGTCTCCAAACGGAGCAGTGGCAGCTGGTTGCGCGCCCAGGTTTGGCCCGGCGGCGCGAGGAGCGCGGAGGTGGTCGCGGGGAGCGAAGCACGAAGCTGGGTGGCCCGGGGAAGGCGGAGGAGGCGAGTGAGGATAATATGAAGTCGGGCCTGTCCCCCTACAGGGGGATTTTCGAAAAATCGAAAATAGCCCCCCCCCCCCCAAAAAAAAAAAATAATGTTCAAAAAATAGTCCCCTGACTATTTTTGGGGTATTTTGTTAGTTTTCGTCGAAAGCCCCCTTGTAGGGGGACAGGCCCGACTTTACGGATAATAGGAGGAGAAGGCCTCGTGCGCACACAGCAGCGCCTGCTCGCGCCCTGGCGTGGGCGGAGAAGGGCGCCCTCTGGATCCGAGCGGGCGGATAGTGGCCACAGAGCGCCGCTGCTACAGTCAGCTGCTGAATCCATTTGGTGTTCCTCGGGTAGGAGAAACAGGAGAATGATGAGGAGCAGGAAAACGAGGAGGGGGAGGAGGAGGAGGAAGAAGAGGAAGATGAGAAGGGTTTTCGCGGTTGCTCTGGAACTTAGGCTTGCGATTCTAACTTGTATCGCGCAGCGAACGTGCATTGAATATTGCGGAGATCTGAGCGAATTGCGAGGGGCACAGCTTGCGAGCAATAAGGACTGGCGTGGTGTTGCGACCGATGGAGCCTGCCAGCCGTAAGGACCTATGTAAGTCGAGAGTGGGCGGGTTGCTCGTGTTTCGCATTGGACATGGCTTCCCAGCGATGGGGAGCCACGTGCTTTGCACAGGACAGCTTGCTTGCGGTATATATATATACAAAGAGAGAGAGAGAGAGAGGCCACCCCGTGTCTTGCCAGGCATAGAACTTGCGGACGGTAGAGGTCCATACGAAAGCGCGAGCGAGGGCGCTTCTCGCCGACAATGGCCACAACCTGCCAACGGCTTCACCCAGACACGTCAGTCATGGGGGCGGCCACACTCCGAATCAGCCGTTCTGGGAGAGAGGCCCCCCGCTCAAGAGTAGTGGAGCGCCAGAACGGGGGGCTCTCCGCTTCGCCAGGGCAGGCCACCTCCGCAGGACCCCGTCTAGGGAAAGCTGGCTTCGCCCTGAGGCACAGGGGGCCCACGGGACTGAAATTCCGGAAACGGCGGAACAAACGCAGGTCCCCTCTCCTCGGGATCTTTTCCCCGTGCGGCAACAGTGTCGCCAGTCTCGCCTCACGGGCCCCCCCCTCCCGGGAAGACTGGGCCACAGACCGCCGGGAGCTCTCGCTGGTCAAAGGCCTCACCCGACGCGCGAGCTGTCTTGCCCCCTCGTCTCCGCCAGCAGCGCCAGGCTGTTGATGGAGTCAACCCGTATTGTAAGGATGGGCACCCTTCCCAAGGGTACCCTTGTATCCTTGCCTCCTCGACCCATCCTTGGCGGCTTTTGCTGGCCAATCTCGTTCGAGACTATATGCGGGCGTCGGTGCTCCTACCCCCCCAGTCTGCATTTGCCTAAGGGGGGGTCTATTTGTTTGTTCAGAACCCAGTGAGTTCGGCGTCCTTCGTCAGAAGCCTTCCTCGGGGTCCTTAGTCTTGGCTCCTCGGGTTCCTTTCTTGGGCTCCTCGAGGCGTTCTTCGGATTCCTTGCCTGTGTTCCTTGGGGTGTTTCAAGTTCTCCCCGCGTCACGCATCCCCACCAGCCCATTCACAAGCCCTACCCATGAGAGTCGACGGGAAAAGGAACGAAGAGACACGTGTAGTGAAACAAAGCGCTACACAGCGGGCAACCAGGGTGAAAGGGGTGGCCTTGGAGGGCCTCTTCGGGCCATCCCTGAGGTCCTCGTGGGGGCGAGGGGAGGAGGAGGAGGAGGAGGAGGAGGAGCAGGAGCAGGAGCAGGAGCAGGAGCAGGAGCAGGAGGAGGAGGAGGAGGAGGAGGAGGAGGACCAAGACGACGACGACCACGACGACGAGGAAGAGGAGGAAAAGAAAACGGAAGACGATGGGGGTAAGGACGAGGACGAGGAGGAGGAGAATGACAACGAGGATGAGGACAGAGCCCTCAAAATCGCCTCTTGGAGCCCTCTTGGGACTCTTTGGGGGGATCTTGAGGTCATCTTGGGGCTCTTTGGGAGGTCTTGGGGCCCTCTTGGTGCCCTTTTGGAGCCCTCTTGGTGGTGCCTTTAGAGCCCTGGAGGGCCTTTAGGGGCCATCTTGAGGCCATCGATCAAAACGGGTGGTCTTCGATTTCGCCCCCCCCCCAAGAGCCATCGGAATCGCCTCTTGGGACCCTCTTGGGGCGCTCTTGGCCCGCTCTTGGGGCCGCCCAGGGGGCTTCGTGGGACCCTGTTGGACATTTCTTGGGTCATCTTGTGCCCTGTACACCCCCTTGGTCTCCCTCGATTGCACTCGCGAAGGCTTCGGTGCGGGCGCCGTCCGGACAGATTGGCCTACGCACGCGCGAGTTTGCTTTCTGAGTTTGCGTGTATGCTCTTCCTCCCTGTCCCCTTTGCCTGACCCACGTCCGGAGCCACTGGTCGTTTTTGATTACGGTGCGCAGCGTACGGCTGCGTCCGTTTAGATTGCCACGACTAGGTGTTAGTAGCCGTTCGTCCTCATCCCTTCTCCTTTGTTCGCCATTGGCTTTTCACTTTTGGCCCTCGCCAAGGATTTAAGCGGTGGTGATCGTGCCAGCCGTTTTTGGCAAGCACGTTGCCCACTCCCCCTCCCCCTCGTTCTCCCTTCTAACTAATTCGGGCATTGTCTCACGAATGTAGTAACAATGCGAGTGGTTTCGCAATGCAATATGACGTATGAGATGTGCGTGGTTCTTGACAGGCACGTTTCTTCGAGGGCCAATAATATTGTGGCCATCTTAAGGCCTCACAAGCGCATCGGATGCGAAACAGCTAGAAGGCAAAAAGCAGTGATTGTCCGTGGGTTGTTGAAGGGTTTTCGCCTCTTGGAGGGTCCTCTGGGGCTCCGAGAGCACTTGGAACCGTCTTGTATCCCTCGTCGGGCCTTTTGGAGGTATGTCGAAAGCTATTTTGAACCATCGCCGGTTATCTTGACATATCTTGGAGCATCGGAGGTTTTTGGGCCATCCTGTGCGCTCTGACCAATCGCCCCCCCCCTCCCCCCAAAAAAGGGAGGTGCGGGGGCACCTCCTGGAAAAGAGCTTCTGGAAGTGGAAAGGAAGAACTCGATAGACCACCTTAGCGCCGAAAGTGCTGGCGGGATTCCTCGCAAGGGTTTCGTGCTTGGCTTCCTCGGGGTTCCTCGGGCTCTTCAAGCAATGCCAAGCAAAGCAATGCGAACAATGCACAGCAATGCCAAGCAATGCAAACGCCAAGCAATGCCAACTGTTGCCTCGCACTGCTGTAAACTAGTTCGATTTGCTTAAGAGGAAAGACGAACCCGAATTGGAGTCGCGCCAAAATCATGTTTCGCCGTCGATAAAAAAGCCACGGGGCACATCCCTCCTAACAACAGCCAGACCAGCTACATCGACTACGGGTATCACGTGGCCGTCCACCAACTACTGGTTTCTCCCTGTTTGCGCCCAGATTCCAGCAGGACAGCGAGAAAATCTCTGCGTGCGGCCGCGCTCAAAATGCGCGGGTCGGCGCCCCCGCGCCCGCGTTGGGCGGAGAGACAACCGGCGCCGCCAGGCAGGGCCCGACTGGGCTTCTCCAGTGGCCCCGCCTGGCAGGGACGCCGATCCCGCTCCGGCGCCAAGAAAAGCAACAGGGGGTGGCAGTGGGCGGGTTACAAAGCAGCCTGCGCCGCGTGGGAACGAGAACCCAGGAGCGCCGGGGGGCGGTGGCGACGAGGAGGGCCCGTGGCGACGAGGGGGCGCTGCGGCGAGGAGCCCCAGCAGCGCCCGCCAGAATGCACGGGCGGGAGCCAGGAAGGCGGCGAGGAAGGGCAGTGGCGACGAGGAGCACGAGCCGCAACCCCGCGCCGCCAGCAGAAGGCGCGGTTATCCTCGCGCACTCGCGCCTGGAGGAAGGAGAGGAGCAAGCGGCGCAGCATCCCCGCGCTCAAATCCACCAGCCGCACGCGGCCACCGGCTGTAAGCACAACGATCCGCCGCGCCACGGGGGCACTGCCAGGCAGTGAACCAATGCGATTCCACTGAGGCCACCGAGGCCAGGAAGCGAGGAGACCACTCGAGTCCTCCTGGAGATTTTCCTGCCCCCCAAACCGCTGCACGATTTAGGGGCGATGAAAATCTCTGCATGCGGCCGCGCTCAAAATGCGCGGGTCGGCGCCCCCGCGCCCGCGTTGGGCGGAGAGACAACCGGCGCCGCCAGGCAGGGCCCGACTGGATTTCTCCAATGGCTCACTGCATCCAGGATCCAGGAGGGCACTGGCGGCCAAGCCGACAAGCGATGTCCACAGGGCAGAGGCACGCCTCGGAACCGCTGTTTTACCGGCGCGCGCCCACTGCGTGCGAGCGTGCCTAGTTGCCCTCGTCCCCGCTGGACTGAGACTGCTCCACCAGCCACTGCGCAGCGGCCATCTCTCCACGCGACTGCGCCGTTGCATAGCCGAAGGCAGCGAGCCCCCTCCATCCACCAGACCAAAACAACGCGGATACACCGCCTGCTCGGAGAGCGTCATCAGCAAACCCACGGCGAAAAGCACGCGTACCCCAGTTATCCGAGTCCTGGAATCCAAGCGCCAAGGCGCCAGCTTTGAGGTACGCCAGCGCTTCAGGATATGCCGCGTGACCGAATGGCACAGACTCTGCAGCCGCAGCTTCCTTCAAGCCGCACACCCCGCAAAGCAGCTGCTTCGCATCTGAGCGCGCGCGCTTTCTCGCAACCTCCACGGGTGCGCGGTGGCATTTTCTTTCACGAAGGTAATGACGCATCGAAAATTTGGGCCACTCCCAACGAAGCGAAAGGGCGCCTTGCTCGAGCCCAGGAGCAGCGTCTCAGACGAATACCGCAGACAGAAATGGCGAGAAACTACCCACGATAGACCAATATCGTGACGCCCTGCCTGCGACACCCACTCTACCAAAGCGCGGGCCTGAGACGCAGACGCCCAAACTTTGGGCCGCTGGCGGCTCATCCCAGCTTTCTCCGCGCCACGCACAAGCTTCGACGTGTCCCCAAGCTCGCCGGCTGGAGCCCGCAGCAGATGAAGCACTGACCGTAAATGCGACGAGTAGCGCCCGAGCGAAGTACTGCTGCGAAACAGCGCGCAAAACACGCAAAGTGTATAGTACTTGGGCGGCCATGGCGCTTCACCGCTGGCAGCAGCAGCTTCACCCCAGAGCTCCACCGCGCTGGCATACTGCACAGCGCTCCGGCGCCACCCACAGAATTCGAGCCAGACGGCGCGAATCTCGAATCCTGCGAGATCTGCGGCAGCGGCGCGTGCCCGTTTCGCAGCAGCACGTGGCTGCACCCTGGCATCCTCGAATGGCCACTCCGGCAGCCTTGCCAAATCCCTGATTGCACCAGCCAGCGCTTTGGGCTCGATCACTTGCTGTCGGCGCCGCGCGTCCGCAACCAGCGCCATAGCAGCCATCCCCCTCTGCGCGGCTCCTGCACCAGGCCTGCGTTCTAATCCGAGCTCCTGCGGACTGCCGCCCGCCGCCTGGCTCGGCTGGGCGCCCCTTGCAGCAGCAAAAGACGCCGACCGCTGACTCCGCTGCCGTTCTGCCTCGCACAGCTGCAGAAACCTCTGGAGGAATGGGTGCGCACACCCATCGAGGGGAGCCCAAATTTGCTGAACTTCAGCCAGGCCGAGGCCGCAGAAGTCCTCAGCACCAGCAGCTGCCAAGTCCGAACATACAGACTCGACTGCAGGCCCTGGCGGTGCCACGGCAGCCACTTGCCGCACAAAGCTGGCCAAGGGCTCGGGGAGCGGCGTTGTCGCAAACTGCTCCGGCACCGCCTCCACGATCGGCGCGGCCAGCGAAAGCGCATCTGCACCTGTTGACGCCGCTGCACGCGCCCGGCTCTGCTCCAGGAAATGCAACATGAAAACATGAAAATGCAACGCCAGCCCTTTGCCTGAGCCGTGTGCCACGGACAACTGCGTGAACAGCGCTGCGCCCCCAAGCACCCACTGCCTGAAGCACGGCCCCGACTCGCAACCGCCCTCGGCATCCAAAGGCACCGAGAACTGCAGGGCCGACAACGTGGTCACCTGACGCCAGCGTGCCAACCATTCGTATGACCACGACGATGCAGCGCATTTTTCTCGCAGCACTTACCCAATCTGCTCAAAGCCACGGGGCGTCTGGCGGCTGGCTCCATGGCACTTGGGTGAAGCCGGCTGATTGCATCGCTTCCAGCGTTGCTGCCTTCTCGCGTGGCCTCGTAGGCGCATCAGCCAAATTCAAGTGACCGGGCACATAAAAACCGTGCAACAGAACTGCAGCGCACGCGGCGCGCAGCCAGAAGTCTCCAATTAGGTCATTCCAATCGGATTGCCTAGAGGAGCCGCGCAAAAGAGTGCCGAGGGCCGTTTGATCATCTGCAAACAACAAGACCTCTAGACGATCCCTGGCCTCTTGGCTGAGCAGCCAGTGGAGCGCGCAAATGGCCGCCATTGGCTCCCAGGTTGCTACCTGGTTTTTCCGGTGGAGCGCCCAACGCCATACTGCACGGGGCACCGCGGAGGCAGACCAGACACGCCGCTCTGGCAAACAGATGGCCCATGCCAACCTGCCTTTGCCCGTGTCGTCAGAATATACAATGCACTGGCGCCGCTTGGCAGGCTCCGCGGACAACGCTGCGCGCCGCGGCACAGAGTGGAGAAAACGCAGCCACCAGCGGAGGGAGCGCGCCAAACGGCCTGACAAAGCCGAGGGCGCCCCAGACGCCTGCTTGAAAAGCGGCGCCAGATGCACCCTCGCAGCGCGGCCGTGAACAGCAGAAGCGCCCCAGCTCAGCCCCCCCGCAAGCTTTTTCGCTTCGGCAGGGTGCAGCGCGCTGCGCTCCAGAATGGCGCAGATCTGCGCTCTCCATTGCGCGATCTTGGCCGGGCCACTCTCCAAATGCACGGCCCCGCCGGCGAAGTCGATTTCGACCTCCACTCCCAAAATGGGAGCTTTCGCTGAACCAGATACCCGCTTCGTGGCATCAAGTTCCCATCCGAGTAAATCTTCTACCACCTCGCGTGCAACTTCGCTGGCGCCTGCTGGCGTAGCCAAGAACGGAGCGCCTCCAACGACCCGATCCGCGCCAAACAGATCATCCACGAACCGCAGAAAAACTACGAGGAAAAGCTCAGCCAGAATGGACCTGACTGCTGCACCGAAGCGCTCCCAGTTGTAGACCGACGCGACGGCCCCAAACGGGCACGCGAGAAGTTGCAGCCCCTGCCCCCGGGACTCAGCCGAATCCCAGGAGACGACTGCAAACGGCAAGTGCGAGCTGCTACAAAGTCTTTTTTGCGAAGCGTGACTCCGTCACAACCTGCCGACATAACGTCGCGAAGCATCGCCACGAACGATCGAGAGTGTCGTGCTGGATGGACTCTCCAACCGACACTGCGGCATTTATACGAGATGCCGAAAAGTCGCCAATGCAGCGCGCCCGGCGCGAATTCCCTTTCCAGCCTTCGTCGGCCAGGAACCTAGCAGCGAGGGCGCAATTGCCTGACAAGGAACGCCACCTCGCATGCCCGTCGCGAACCTCCTTGTCGCACTTGCTCTCGAAAGCCGCTCGGACTGAATCCTCCAGATCCGTCTGGCGCCGAACTCGGCGGAGCGTGGCTTCGTTTAAAGAAGCGGCTTGCGCGCGCAAACTCGCGGCAGTTTCCGGGCACTGCAAAAACGGGAGGACAGGCAGGGCACCGCTGCGGGGAATCTCGCCGAGCAGCGGAAACCCATTCCTGAGATCAGCTACGAGACGCGTGTCAGGCCAGCCAATCGCTTCAAGCATTTCGCCAAGCACAAGCAAATTTTTCTTCGGACCCAGGACGCCCTGGACGCGCGAGGGCAGCGCCCCGAACTTGCACGCCCACAGCGGGTCCAGCACACGCTTGCGCTCACGCCAGTGCGCGAGACTGTCCGCCCGAACGTGGGCCAGGGCGGGCCCGTCTAGAGCCAGGGAGCGAGCCAGCGGCGCAGCGACGGCCCCGGGCACCACGGGGAAACCACTGCACGCAGGCAAACAGAGCGCCCAACCTAAATGATCGAGCGGAGTTAAAACTGGAAGCCGCCGGGCCCTTCAGAAAGCTATGCACAAGATCCCTAAGCCTGGCCACGCCAGGGGACACGGGATATTTGTGGCGAAGCGTTCGCGAACAAAAACGGGCATCGCCACTGCCGTCGCGACTGCCAACTGCGCCGGATTCGCCATCAAAATGGGCAGAATCGACGCTGGAGCCTCCTGGGCTCGCACTGCGGCTTGGAGCCGCTCACTTCCTGCGCTGCTGCCAGCCTTTCTGCTTCCAGCTGCCCTGGTCGTTGCTCTGGTGCCAGCCGTCCTGGTTGCGCCAGGGGCTGCGGGACCGCGGCGGCACAGCTGGCGAGAGCGACCGTGGCGGCGGCCTCGCTGCAGCGCTGCCCGAGCTGCGCTCGCTGCCCTTCGCGCCAAAGGCGCCGCCCTTGCCGTGCTTGCCCTTGCCCGCGCCCTTACCTGCCAGCGCCCTGGCTGCTTCGGCGGCTTCCACCTTGCTCTTCGCCTGCTTGGCGAGATCGGCGTCTACTTTCGTGAAATGCAGGTTCCAATCGGGGTCGCCGCGCTCCAGGGCCTTCGCCATCGGCGGGCGAGCCATGACATCATATTGGTACGCTGTGCGCACGCCGCCCTCTTCCTCAGCGATCTTGCTGAGCAGCATCGAGTAGCCGAGAATCTCGAGGGGGGTAGCGGTCTTCATCATAATGAGCTTCAGGCCCCAATCCATGATGTGGGCGTGGAAAGTGGCGTACCCAGGGTAGTTCAGCTCCGAGGTAGCCCTGGCCCGCTTCAGCTCGGCCATGCGCCGCTGGCGGCCCGGCACCGGCCCGTCGCCCACGGGCACGTCGATGCGAGGAATCCTCGACCACGCTGGGCGGAAGTTCTTCTGAAGATCTTCGCCGTCAGCGCTGCGTACATACAGGCGCCCTTTCTCTCTGGCGATGCGCCCTGCCGCCTCAAAGACAGCCAAGTTCTCCTCTGAGGGCAGGACGTCCTGGGGGAACCTGTCCATCCCCAGCTCGGTGAGCCTGGCTGCGAGGTTGAAGGACAGCGCCTTCACGGAGCGCTTGTGGCTCGCCGCCTGCGCCTCAAGGTAAGCATTCATCGTGCCCGCCAGGGTGCTTTCAGGCGTCGGAGCTTGAGGCACGACAGTGGCGCACTTGCGCTGGACCCTGTAGGCAAAGGGTCCCGATGATCTCGCGCATGCACGAATCGCCAACGTCGAGCTGCGAAAGCGCCCCAAGCTTCTCCGCCAGGAGCTTCCCGACGGAGAGGTACCAGAAGAGGTCGTGGTGAGCCTTAGGCGACTCGTCCACACTGAGCAAGAGATCGCACCACTTGACCTGTGCAGCAACCTCCGCGCCGCACAGGGCGCCCTGCGGGGGTCCCGCACGAAAGCCTCGACCTCTGCGGCGCCGAAGGACATGGCGCGATGCTCAGCTGCGGGTGGGCGCTGGCTAGTACCAGGGCGAAATGAGCAGGTGGAAGCGCCGGAATGCTGGAGCCAGAAGACTGCGGCTGCAGCAGGCCCGGGCGCAGCGCTGGCCAGGACGAAGCCGCGAACGGAAAGCCCAACCCACAAGCAACAAGAAACGATGCCACGAGAGACCACGGGACCACCCGAGCAGCCCCGCAGAGCGCCCGCGCCACAGGCCACGGCCAACCACAAGAGCCGGCCAGGCCGCCAGGGCCTCCCCACGGAAGACCGCCGCCGACCTGCGCAAAACGCCCAACACAGAGGGCGTTGCGCCCCCTGCAGGAGCAACTGCATAACAGCCCGACCTGCGGGTGCACCCCATACTGACGGCCTGGACACACCGCTAAACAGAACACGGCGCCGATCGACCTGCGGGTGCACCTCCCGACCTGCGCCGCGTGGGAACGAGAACCCAGGAGCGCCGGGAGGCGGTGGCGACGAGGGCCCGTGGCGACGAGGGGACGCTGCGGCGAGGAGCCCCAGCAGCGCCCGCCAGAACGCACGGACGGGGGCCAGGAAGGCGACGAGGAAGGGCAGTGGCGACGAGGAGCACGAGCCGCAACCCCGCGCCGCCAGCAGAAGGCGCGGTTATCCTCGCGCACTCGCGCCTGGAGGAAGGAGAGGAGCAAGCGGCGCAGCATCCCCGCGCTCAAATCCACCAGCCGCACGCTGCCACCGGCTGTAAGCACAACGATCCGCCGCGCCACGGGGGCACTGCCAGGCAGTGAACCAATGCGATTCCACTGAGGCCACCGAGGCCAGGAAGCGAGGAGACCACTCGAGTCCTCCTGGAGATTTTCCTGCCCCCCAAACCGCTGCACGATTTAGGGGCGATGCAAAACGCCGATGTCAGCGACATCATCCACAGCGATTTGAGAACAACAGCCTGCCAGGCGCAGACCCGTGCGCCGCATCGCAGCTCGACTGTCGCAACATCAGCTCTGGCCACGACGCAGCAACCCACAGGTACGCGACGCAGCCCAGCTGCTCCAACGACAGCCAGCTCACCGATGGCATGACCGACTCGTGGCCTGCCTCTTCACAGATATGCCAGCTCGTGCAGCAGCGCGCGACGCATCTCTGGTGGCACGGGCCGGGCCCCGCTTCGGCCATTGGCCTTCGAGACCTCTGGTCATAGCGCCAGCGCCGTGGAGCCAATCGACCTCCGAGGGCAAGCATTCCAAATGCAGCGAACCCAGTGCGAAACCGTGCCCAGGCCAGGCCCAGCCAGGCAAATCGAAAGGACGTGTCGTTGGGCAAGCCAGGATAAACCAGGCCACAGCAAGCCAAGCCAGGCCAGACCAGGGGCCAAACCAGGCAAATTCCGATGAAGTCCTGCGCGAGACGCGTCAAACCTGGCCCCGTCCAATCAATTCAATTACAATTGAATTATGGATGACCCAAGGGGGTCCCGCCGCAGGGAATCACGTAAAAATAACATGTTATGGGGTGGGTGGGGCAGAACACCATTCATATGGATGGGGAGCAGCAGCATTCATGTGTCTTTCGGTTGTAGTTCGGAAGCATATACCCGAGCCTTCAGTGTGGCATCCAGCTTGACGAAGCTCCTACGCGCACGGTTCGAATTGTTTCGTCGCTTGCAGCCGCAAGTGGGAGGCGCAGGCCACTACGCGAGCAGTTGGAGTCCAACGGCTAAGGCCACGTCAAGAGGATTTGCACAGACTCCAAAGACGTCCAGCATGAACCATAGCCCACCGCCTGCTGTAGGGTGAACATCCTTCCAGGGGGGCGTGACCTCGGGCCTGCCTCCTATCTCGTGATTCCTGTGAACCCCTTCACCGCTTCATCAATGCAGAAACCTCGTCACCCCTCCCCCATTTCTTCCCTCATACTCCGCCCGCCCCCCCCCCCAATCTCAGCCTCCGCCTCACCCTTTCCAGCTCATCCTTCTCACCATCACCATTATCACCAGCATCACCATCATCACCATCATCACCATCACCATCGTCACCCCATTTGTCCCTCTCCCCTCCTCGCCCTCGTCGGTATGACCCTCGTGTCAGCCACACGACCAGGTGCCTTGGAGAATACGGAGTCGCTGATAAAGCACGTGGAGGCGCCTAGGGCGGTCACCGTTGTCTCGTCATCCTTGTCATCCTCGTCGCCTTCTCCCTCCTCGTCCTCGTCCCTTCCTCGTCATTTTCTTCCTCCTTATCCTTCACCCCCTCCTCCACCCCTCCTTCTTATAGATAAATCCTCCCCGTCGCACCCCGAGACGGGTCGGTAAGGCGGGTGGGTGTTTCGTTTGAGATTTCATCACGACATTTGATCCAGAATCTGAAATTGTGCAAGAGCTTCACGGACGGAGGACGGCCTGCTTTCCCCAACCACATTGTGGTGTTAGGTCCTCGTTTTGAAGAGAGCGTCCCGCGTCCATTCTTTCCTTCTTCCCGCTGCCCCATCGTTCCTCTCATTCCGCATCCGCATCGTCATCGTCATTAGCATCGCCATCACCGTCGTCGTCATCGTCGCCATCGCCATCATCCACATCATAATCGCCATCATCGTCATCATCAGCAGCAGCATCATCATGATCATCAGCATCAGCATCATCATCATCATCATCATCATCGTCATCGCCATCGCCATCGTCAGCATCGTGCCTCTGATCTCCACGTGTGCCCCATGTCGGCACACCCCTCACACGACTCGTGGCACCGTAGAGAGCTCCAAAGGCCCCAGTGGAGGGATCCTCATGCGTCCCCCGCCCAAGTCGCACACCCCTCTCACGCTCCGTGGCCCCACAAGGAGCCTCACCGAAGGCCCCAGTGGCAGGGTCCGCATGCATCCCCCCGCGCATTTCAGCATACCCTCATACGCTTCGTGGCCCCTTAGGGGCTCAACCGAATGCCCCAGTGGCAGGTTCCGCATGCGTCCTCCCGCCCATGTCGGCACACCCCTCTCGTGCTTTGTGGCCCCACAGGGGCTCCACCGAAGACCCCAATGGCAGGTTCCGCATGCATCCCCACGCGCATTTCAGCATACCGTCATACGCTTCGTGGGCCCATAGGGGCTCAACCGAATGCCCCAGTGGCAGGGTCCGCATGCGTCCCCCCGCCCAAGTCGGCACACCCCTCTCGTGCTTCGTGGCCCCATAGGAAGCTTCACCGAAGGTCCCAGTGGCAGGGTCCGCATGCATCCCCCCGCCCATTTCGGCACACCCCCCTCGCACGCTTCGTGGCACCATGGGGAGCTCCACCGAAAGCACCACTGGCCCGCATGCGTCCCCCCGCCCATTTCGGCACACCCTTCACACGCTTCGTGGCACCATGGGGGGCTCCACCGAAGAGGATGCACACCACTGCGGTACTTACAACTGCATGTGGTTGGGTTCTTCGCCAGGCTAATTTGAATGTGGTTCTCGCCTTTGCGCCGCGCTCATTCGCTTTTCCATTTTACAAGAGTTTCACAGATGGGGGGCAGGTGATTTTCACAATGTGGTTTTGCGCCGCGCACATTCCATTTAAAAACGCAGGAGCTTCCAGATGGAGGGCGGGCGGTTTTGAAATTGTGGTTCTAACTGTAGCGCCGCGCACGGTTGCTCCCCAATCAAAGTTTGCCTCTGTAGGGGTCCTTAGGTGAGGGGTTTGCGCCGATTTCAACGGCACGCCCGGGTGCCCGGGTGCTTGGTAGCCCTATTGCCCTATATCTTTGTAGCCTACGAGCCCTGTCGCCCTACAGCCCTATAGATTTGTAGCCCTATAGCCTTATAGCCCTATAGCCCTAATAGCCCCATAGCCCCATAGCCCTAATAGCCCTATAGCCTTATAGCCTTACAGCCCTATAGCCCTATAGCCCGATAGCCTCATAGCCCCATAGCCTTATAGCCCTATTGCCCGAATAGCCCTGTAGCCCTATAGCACTATAGCCCCATAGCCTTATAGCTATAGCCCTGTAGCCATGTAGACCCATAGCCACATAGCCCTAATAAGGTTGTGATTGGAGTTTGTTTCTCCAGTGTGATTTTCAAAACTTACAAGAGCTTCACGGATGGAGGGTGGTTCTTTTTCGAAATGTGGTTCTCGCTTCAGCGCCGCGCACATCAGCCTTAACAGTATACGGCAGTTTGGAGGATTCTTACGGTTGACGTCTCAGAAATGGAGTTTTGGCACGATTGCGGATTTCCCGGGCGCGACAGTCACGTTGATTCGCGGTGTTGCTGTCCCAGGAATGATATCATGGTACGGCTCTGTATCGCTAGGACGCAACCGTCATGCTGATTCACGGCATTGCATTCCCAGGAATGGTGTGTTGGAACGGTTGAAGATTTACAGTCGGCTGTTTTCCAACCGGACACTATCCGCCGTGAAAATACATCTTTGTGAGGCCTACGAAGAGGGAACTTGGAGGGTGTATTGCAACCTCGTTGGTGGGTCTTGGATTTACACTGGTCATCCTCATCCTCCCCATCCTCATCCTCATCCTCATCCTCCTCCTCGCCGTCATCACCCCTCCTCATCCTCCGTTGCCCTCTCGCTGCCCGAACTGCGCGCTCACTCGCTCGCTCTTTCTCCCCCTCCCCTCCCCTTCTACGTGCGATTGCCCTCCTCCGCCTCCTCCTCTGGCTCCTCCTCCTCCTCCTCGCCCCTCCCTGTCTCTCTTCTCCTCCTCCTGTTCCTCCTCCTCGGTGCGCGCTCGCGTGCTGGCCGCAGCGGGACTGGCACCATGGACGCGGGCAGACCCTGCGCGGCTCGGGGGCTACCCCGACGGCACGGGACGTTTTGCGACGGGATCTTGCCGTTAACCTTGCGGCTCGTTCTTGTGCCCCCCTCCTGGGCATTTTCATTGTCCTGCAGCTGGTCGTCCACGACAGTCGGTCTTGCTTTGACCCTGACGCTGCCAATGGCCATCGCACCGCGGCGTTTCACCCGGGAGGCGGCAGCTACTCGTGAAGCCGTTTGTTGTAAGACAAACAGCCGTCAACCGCACGGGGGGCGTTTCTCGACCTCGTCAACAGCATCGTTCGGCGGCGCGCCCAGGGCGGAAGGCAGAGGGGTAGGGGACCTTCTCAGAAGGCTCAGAAGACCTTTGGCCTTGAGGCCACGGGCGGTGCCCGACAAGGCTTGCCCGCGACGAATTAGCCTGGCGAAGGACCCAACCATATGCAGCTGCGCATATCCGCAATTATGAATATCATCTTCGCCCGCGCTTCCTATGGGGTCACGAACCGTGCGAGGGGCGTGCCGACATGCGTGGCGGGGCACGCAACGCGAGCGAAGACGATAGGTCTGTGTGCGAGAGATGAGTCTGATTGTGGATGAGTCTACGCACGCGTGAGTCTACGTGCATAAATGTCGACGCCCATGTCGGCACGCCTCTCACGAGGATCGCGCCCGCTTCCTTCCCGTTTTTCTTCTCCTTCTTTGCCCGTGCACGCCCACGTCCAAGGCTGCGGGCGCGGCGCCGCACGGAGTCCCCGCGACGCGCGCTGGTCGCCCCGAAGAGGTCCCGGCGACGCGCGCGGGTCGTCCGCTGCGCGGAGCAGAGACAGCGAGCAGGGGTGGTGGATGACGCATGCGGGCGGTACCACTAGGGCTTTCGGTGGAGCTCCCTATGGGACCACGAAGCGCTGTACTGGGTGGTGGATGACGCACGCGGGCGGTCCCACTGGAGCCTTCGGTGGAGCTGTCTATGGGGCCACGAAATGCTGTGCTGGGTGGTGGATGACGCACGCGGGCGGTCTCAGTAGAGCCTTCGGTGTGGGGGCTCCGTGTGGGGCTACGAAACGCTGTGCTGGGTGGGCGAAACGCAGGGAGGAAGGAAGAGGGGGAGGAGGAGGAGGGACGCGGAGCGCAGTCTCTTAAAAACGAGGACCCAACACAGGATGGTTGGGAAAAACATGAGAAGGCGTGCCCCCTCTCATTTCCTTTTTCGGCGCGCCGCCGAAGGGCGCAAGGAGCGGCCAGCAGAATCCTGGCAGGATCGCGGCAGAATGGCGAGGTGGTTTTCAGCACCGATTGAGAGGAGAGGCATGTTCGTTCGGTCGCAGTCGCGGACGCGCGCGGTCCCGACTTCACGAATTGTATCTTTTCGTTCGCGCAGGGATGCGCATTTCCGACTCGGCCGTGACAGCGGTCCCCAAGCAGAGACGTGTCGGCTCAAGGTGGCGAGCCGGCATCTGCGAGGTGCGTGGAGGTTGGTTCGGGGCTTGGGCGCCCGCGAGCTGCCAGCGTGGAGCGTACAGCCAGCATTCCAAATGAGGAAATCGGCTTGCCAGCGGGTGCCCCACGAGACCTCTGCATCTCCCGATGGGCCCGCAGAGTCTCGGGGCACCCTGCGAAGCTCAGGGTCGACGACGGACGTGCCCCGAGAGTTTCTCTTATGGTATAGTGTCTCGTCGTGTGCTTTCTCGTGTGTGCCTGCCGTGCCTGCCGCTTGCGGCGTCGTGACGGACACTCGGATGCACCCACTCTCGCCGCTGCGGACTCGCATGCTGCTCCTCCTCCTGTCGTTCTGGCTCGAATCGCTCCGTTTTCAGCGCCTGCAGTCTTGGTTTCAGCCCCTGGGTGTGGTCGCGATGCCGCTCCGCGCCCACTGCCAGGCCACCCCAGCACAGGCTGGCCACTCTAGGCACTCCTGCTGGAACTCCTTCCCCGGTGGGTGCCCCCTTTCCCCGCCGGGCTTCTGCGGCCGGCCTCTTCCTTCGTCCCTTCAGCTGCTGCCGGTTCACAGGTATGCCGCGGGCCCCCGGCCACGAGAGCGCGCGCGAGCGGATCGCCTCCGCGGCGCTGCGATGTAAAAAAAGTGTGTGTGCGTGCTGTGTGCCGCCAGCGTGGGTCTCGCCACGAGGCTCGCCGGCGCGGGTTCGACCCGCATCCAGGCAAGTCTCGGTTCTCACTGCTGGGGCGGCACGTTTGGAGGAGAGCGCGGCGCGAGGAGAGAGGCCAGGTGTCGATGGCGACGGTGTTGGTGGTGGAGAGGAGGAGGTGGAAGATGAGGGGAGGATTGAAGAAGGAAAACGGCAGAAGCATACATTTGCGGAGCTCCGAGCAATTATGTGCATGTCGCTTGTGCTCTTTTAGGAAGGAGAGGGGACAAGGACGATGGGGATCAGGGGGGAAAGGTTGAGGAGGAGGAGGAGAGGAGGAAAAGCAGGAAGAGCATGAGGAGAAAGGAGAAGGAGGAGAAGGAGGATAAGGAGAGAGTAACATGAGATAGAGGAGAGGAGGGAGGGAGGGAGGGAGCGGAAGGCAGGGGGGAGACGGAAGGGACAAGCCAGGTGCGTTCGCGCCATATCCGACATCCTATCCCTCCCTTCCATCCCTTCCCATTGCGCAGATGTTTCTCTATCCGCGGACGCGTGCCACAGCCGACCTCAAACTCCAACAGGAATACAAAATTATAGAACACAAGGTGCAATGCGCTATCTCAAAGAGGAAACTGCGTACATAGAATAGAGGAGGAGGAGGAGGAGGAGGAGGAGGAGGAGGAGGAGGAGGAGGAGTAGGCGGACAATGAGGAGGATCATGAAGGAGAAGGACGAGGACGAACAGCAGCAGCAGAAACCAGAACGGAAGGAATGGGAAAGAGCAGGAGGACCAGGGGAAGGCGGAGGAGGAGAAATGAGGGAGGCGACAACGATGAGAAAGGGTTCGGATCCAGAAAAGTTGTCAGCCTTGGGGCCAGAGCGACATTGTGGACGACGGGAGCACAGCGCCGATCCGAAAATGAGGCCCATGCTGCGATTGGAGGCGGATGGCGGAGGGGCAAGGAGGCGTGGAGGAGCGAGGAATGAGGAGATGGCCAAGTGTCAAACATATGCGTAGCGATACATGCCGCACTCATGTTTCGGATTGTGTCTAAAAGGTGCGCGTGTTGGTCCTGGAGCACTTCCACAAGGTGAAGGCAAATCACAAGAAGCCTGCACAGGCGCTTTGTGTGCCCATCGCCTTGCATGGAAAATGGTATGGATGACCCCGAGAAAGGGGAGGCGAATAAGAGGGGGCAGAGATGAACATATAGAGATGAAGGATGAGGAGGAGAAGGAGTATGACGAGCTGGAGAAGGAGGAGCGGATGGAGAAGGCGTCGCAATGGTAACGTGCACGGTCAGCATCAGAAGAGTATGAAAAGGATGAGGACGAAGACGACCATGAGGAGGATGAGGAGCACGCCAACGGTGGATTGGAAGGAGAACCATTTGGAGGGGCAGTCATGGGGGGATAGAGGGGCACGGGAGGGGCAAGGAGAGAGAAAGGGGGCGAACGAGAAGGAGAGGGAAAGGGAGCTCGAAGGGGCGGAGGAGCCCGAGGGGGCATGGGGACAAACGGAGAGGGCAAGCCAGATGCCCTCCCTCGCCCTCTTCAGGTGTGCTTGCGATTGACCCTTCTCCCCAGTCGATCTTTGGGTGCGGGCCCACTGGCTTGCGCGGTTGGATTTCCCCGCCCCGCCTCGGCCCCGTAAAGCCGCGCACCAAAGGTCATTATTGCCATGGTCTTTTCTGGGTCACTCCTGCGCACAGTCGACACCTGCAGCACGTGTTGTCGCTCAAATATGGCACGCGCGCACCTTCTGTGTTCCCCTTGCTCGGCGAACGTCCGCTGCGCGGAGGGCCCGCCGCAGGCGCCGCGGACGAGGGGTGATGACGAGGGGAAGGAGGGGAAGTGGGAAGAGGGGGAGCGGGGTGAGGGGGATCGGGAAGGGAAAGGGGGGAGGAGAAGGAAAGGAGGGGCTGAGGGGGAGCAGCATATGCCGGGGGGGGCCAGCAAGAGGAGGAGGAGGAGGAGGAGGAGGAGGAGGAGGAGGAGGAGGAGGAAGAGGAGAGGAGGACGAGGAGGAGGAGAAGGAGGAGGAGGAGGAGGAGCCGCAAGGTGACGCCCACCGCAAAAGTGACGCACACTCATTCGTACTCCTTGTGCCTTCCGATGGGGGCCCCTCCGCCGCCTTCCGCGAAAGTCTCGGGCGGTCTCTGAGTGTGTCCGCAGGGCTCCAGAGGTCCCCCATGTTCCCTGGAGGTTGGGTGCCTCTCGGGGTCGAGTGAGGTCTCCGAGGCCCTGGAGGTCTCTGGATGTCTCCGCGGGGTCTCCGCCAGGCTCCTGGAGACTTCCAGAACTCTCCAGAGGCCCGAAAAAGATTCAACGCCCACACACAAACATATGAATGTCGATTCTCCTCGACCCTCGATCCTCCCCCTGTTCCTCCTTCCTCATCCCCCTCCGCGTGCAGCCGCCGCCGCGGCCGCCGAGGGGGGACCGGTCGACATGGACATTGTTTTGCCGGTCGAGGCCCAGGAGCCGAAAACACAGTCGGACGACGGCTACAGGATGCTCGCGCCCTACCAGGTGAAGGTGTTTCTTACTTCATTTGTCCTTCGCCTCCTCCGCCAACCCCCACCATCCGTTCTCTGACCTCCTTTTCCACCCTACGGCTCCAGTCCCCATCGTTTGTTATCCATTCCTTTTCTGGTGCTCCTCCCCCTCATCTTTCTCGTCCTCTTATCATGGAGGAGGACTGAACGAGGAGGGTAGGAGAGATAGAGAGAGAGTATGGGGAGCGGGGAGGAAGTAAGGTTGACGTATTTCTGAATAAGCGGAGGATTGGCAAGACTGGGAGTAAATAGTGGGCGTTGAGAGGGCCAAGCATGCTCTTGTGGACCGTGTGCCCGTGCTTCAGGTTGGCCACCCGCAGCAGAAATGTGTGTGTGTGTTCTGGCCTTGCCGTGTGTGTCTCGTAGGCTTTAATTCGAAGTCCGAGAGCCGTCGGGAGATTGTTGCCACCATTCTCCACAGGACCGCGATGTGTTGCAGAGCTTGGGATCGTAAAGGTATCGCTTTTCCGAGGCCCTGAAAGCTCCCACACAGCTTAGTTCGTACTGCTGCAAGTTTTGTAGCAGCGAAGCGCAAAGCTTTAAGCTGTGAACGTCCTGCGGTCCCCCTGCCTGTGACGAGCTGGAGAAACCTCCGCCTTCTCGGGAAAGGCCGTTTTACCTTGATAGAAATCAAGTCACCGATGACATTGGTGAAAAAATCCGTGACTAGAATTGCAGTTTGAATTCCTCGTTCCCGCTTGCGAGCCGATTTGAAGCATGCGTTGTTTGAGGCATGGGTGTTGATGCGAAGCAAAAAGACGGTGAGGGGGATGGGGAGGGGAAGGCGTGCAGACAGAACGATGGGAGACGCCAGCGGTGCAGGTTGTGATCAGCCTGAAGAACAAGAAGGAGCGCTTCGGTCGAGTGCGAGCTCGCCGTTCCTTCTTCCTCCCTTTACTCGTCGTCGTTCTCTTCCGCCTCCGCCTCCTTCTCCTCCTCCGCTTCATCCGTCTCCTCATACGTACTCCTGATCATCCTCGCTCAACTCCATCCTTCTCCACCTTGCCATGCCTTCCCCCGTGCCCTCCACCACCCAGTCCACCTCCTCGTCCTCTCGATCCCCCCCTCGCCCTCGAACCCGCTAACCATCCCCCTTCTTCTTCCCCTTCTCTGCTTCTCTTTTCCCTCCGCTTCCCTTTCATCCCCCCCCCTCCATTCCCATTCCATTCCCATCCCTTTCTCCATCCCCCCTCCCTGCCTCCTCCACCTACCCTCCTATATCCCCGTCCTTGGCAGGATGGGGGGAAGGAGGTGGAGTCGGAGGCGAATGTTGAGCCAGATTTGGAGGCGGAGGCGGAGGTGGAGGGAGGCGTGGGCCAGAGTGGACCCAGCACACCACGGATATTGCAATACAATGTTCTGTCCTTAAGTCGATGCAAGCGTGTATGTCCACTACGGCGAGCGCCTTGTCGAAATGTGAGGATCCCATGGGCTTGCACGGTGATCACTCTGTGTTTTCCGGTTTTTCACCAACGAGCAAGATGCGAATCGCCTGCGTCACGCTACAAAGCGCAAGTGCTTTTAGAGGGGACCGTCCTCCATGATGTAGCTGGAAGGAGAGTTCAAATGCACGTGGCGCCGAAGCTAGGCAACGATGTCGAAAGGGAGCCGCCCCTCATCATTCCCCAGTGAGCGCGACCGGCTGCGCTGCCCAATTCGTCGCACCCCTCCCGCAGATCGTGCCCCGCAGGGAGTTCCACCTGCGGCCCCAGTGAGCGCGATCGCACGCAGCACCACCGCCCAATCTGGCACACCCTTCCAGCCGACCGAGCCCCGCAGGGAGGTCCCTCTGCGGCCTCCGCGGGCGCGATGGCACAGCTTGGCACACCACTCCCGCGGCTCGTGCCCCACAGGCAGGCGCGGCCGCACACGATGCCACCGCCCCCTTCGGCACACGCCTCCCTCACGGAGCGTGCCCCCTCCGAGAGCTCCACCTGCGGCTTCCGCGGGGGTGCGGGCAGGCGGGGGGCCCCCCGGTCAGTTTCGGCGCACCCCCTCGCGCGGATCGTGCCTCACAGGGAGATCAGCACGGCTCTTCGCGCGCCTGCTGCGCAGAATCAGCACATTGCCCCAAAGTCCAGCGCCGCCCTGGGCGGCGCGCAGTGTGCATGAGGAGAGGGCCGCGCCTTGGGCCACACGCGGCTGCACAGGGTTGGGCCCTACGCCAGGCGAAAGGTGTCGACGTTATGTTTCCTCCTGCCGCATCCTCCGTCCTCCGCCCTCGCTCATTTTTATCCTCGGTCGACTGACGCTCGGCTTCATTCGCCTGCTCCTCCTTTCATGCGCGAGCTTGGTTGACATACGATCTTCGAGGAAACTCCCATCGCTTGCCCAGCTCAGCGCCTCTTCATCATTTGTCATGGAAATTGTTGCAAAAGAATGATTACACCCCCTGCACGTGTATGAAGCCGTCTGGGCAGGGCTGGCTCGGTGTTTTTCATCCAGATTCTGCCCGAGGACAGGTTCAGAGTTTTGCGATCATCCTTTGCATGACCAGAGTCTCGACCGTATGGATGAGGATCGTGTATTTTTTCTCGATGTCCAGCGTGATCGCAGGAGGTCATCTTTGCGAATCCCGAGAAGCACGCGCAAGCGACCATCACTGAGGCTTGTTGGGAAGGGGATGGAGGCAGAGGTGGTGGGGTCACGAGGAGGAGGATGAGGCATGGTCAGCACTGGATGAGCCTTCGACTCTGATGCTCAGACGGACAGGGAGGAACTGCACGATGAGAGGGACTGCGAGGCTGAATAGCGGTATTCCTCCCCCCACGTTCTCTTTCCTCCTGTCCCTCCTCGCCCATCCGCGTCCCTCCTCAGTTTTCCTCCCTCTCTCTCTCTATTTCTCTTTCTCTCTCTATCTCTTATCTCATCTCATTTCTGTCTTGTCTCGGTGGGTGCTCTGCCTCTCTCTCTCTTCGTCTTCCTCCTCTGCCTTTCTTTCTTTTCTTTCTCCACCAGTACTCCTCCCTTCGCTCCTTCCCTATCCTTCTTCTCTCTTCTTCTCCTCCTGCTCCTCCTCCTCTCCTCCTCCTACTTCTCCTTCTCTTTGACGTTGCCCAGACGGGAAGCGCAAGATTGTCGCGTTCCAATGCAACAAAACGCCGACTTGGCGGAGCGAGTAACAAATCAGTGTGTCGGGCGCAGCGGACGAAGTCGCGCAGCAAGTTCAGAACACTGGAGGGCTCTGGGGCATGCGCCCGCCAGGCGGTGGAAGGTGCAGCGCCTGGTGTTACCTTGGTATCCCAACCTTCTCCTCCGCTGCTCGAACACCCAGCCCCACTCCCAAAGTTGTACTGTCGGACCGAGGTCTAAGATCGAGGTCGCTTCGGGGAGGGTGCCCTAATGCTCTTCGTGTCTGTTGGCTTCTCTTGTGTGTCCTGGGGAGGGTACCCTTGGATGTTCTGTGTGTTTTGGCCGGCGGACGGTCTCATGTTCTTGAAGGAGGTTCTTCTGGTCTAGGTCCGACTGTAGGTCCAGGCGTGCAGCACTCATAATCAAAACATGCAGCGCAGGCGACGTAAGAGCAAGTGAGAGCAGAATAGCTCGAGCTCGCCGCGAAGTACTGCACAGAGGCGTGTACGTAGAGTGCCGAAGATCGAGAGGCTACAGCTGATGGTTTTGTTGTTCGGGGGGAGGCCCCGTTACCGTATCGATTTCTTTGGGGGGGGGACATTGTGGCTATTAGTTTGGTTATTGTCCCCCCTAGTTGGGATGCCGCTGCTCGGTGAGAGGTGAGGGCAGAGAGAACGGTAAGACGAGAGGAGTAGCATTAGCAGGGACTGCGTTAAGAAGGGTGGCACTATAAAAGGCTGGCCTGTGTGTTTAACGTGTTGGCCGCGCCCTCCGGTAGGGTCATGCCAGTGGGCGTGTGATTAAGTGGGGCCACTCCTTGTGAGCCAGGGGGGCCCGAAATACGAGTAAGCTGAGATATCCGTCGCACCTCATCCCGCCCATCCACCCATACCTGTAAGCAAACCCCTTTCCATCACCCTCTAGTACACGCTGTTGGGACAGCGGTGTCTGGCCTTGTAGCGTAGAAGAGCCTGGTGTAACAGAGTGGCGAAGAGTATGGGGAGGATGTGGATGGTGAGGAGAAGTGGAGGAGCAGGTGGAGGAGGAGGGAAGATAGGACTGGAACGCGATCCTCTTCTTCAATGGGCTGAATGTCCCCAAGAGGCTGGGCGTTGAAGGAGCAGTCACCGGCTAGGCAATCGAGACCATGCCACATGGCGTCTGCCGCCTTGCCAAGTCTGTCCTTGGTCACCCCATACGCTGGGACTTAAGTGTGGCCAGGTTGCCCCCCCTAAGGGTTGGAGGGGGGATTCGCTGTCCAGCAGGGGGGCTCGGTGGGCCACGGGGCTGGGTCCCACAACATACAGGGCAGCGCAACGACGACCCGAGAAGGGTGGCGAGGGGCGACGAAGAGGCCAGCATGGGCAAGCAGGCGACTCAAGGCAGAGGGGGGCAGAGGGAAACTGCAAAAGTGGGGAAGGCTTCGGGCCGCGAGCCCACTAGACGCAATGCCCATCGCTGCTGGGTTCGCCCCCCACAAAGCAGGCCATCGACCTCCCGAGTCAGACCCCCAGCCTCTCGCCCCCGCCAGAGAGGGGATGAGGTCCAGGAGGGAAAGGAGGATAAGGAAAAGAGGGAGAGGGGGGAGGCGGAGGAAGAGGAGGAGGAGGAGGAGGAGGGGGAAGGGGAGGAGGCGGAAGAGGAGAAGGAGAAAGGGAACGAGTGAGCGAGAAGTGAACTTGGATGAATGAACGCGTGGTCAAGATAGGGTGCCGTACAGCCGGGCCGGGGAGGCTATCGACGAAGCTTGTGACGGAATCCAGCGCTTGATGCGGGAGGAGAAGGTGAAGGATGCTTGTCCCGTGACACCGTCCTTACGCCCTTCCTCTCCCTATCCCCAGTTCCCCTTCCCGTCCCCCCCACCTCTCTTCCACCACGTCCACCCCCTCGTCATCCCCATTATATTCCCTGTCCTTCACCCCTATTTTTCCTCCCCCCCTTCTCCATTTCCCCTTCCTACTCCTCCTCCTCCTCTCCTTCCTCCTTGTCCTCCTCTTCATTGTCCTTCTCCTCTTCCTCCTCCTACTACGATCACGACTACAACTACGACGACGACGTCGACGACGACGACGACGACGACGACTTCTACTACTACTACTACTACTACTACTACTACTACTACTACTACTACTACTACTACTACTACTACTACTACCTTTTTTATTTCTATTATTACTACTACTACTACTACTGCTGCTACTACTGCTACTGCTACTGCTACTGCTACTGCTACTGCTACTACTACTTCTACTACTACTACTACTACTACTACTACTACTACTACTACTACTACTACTACTACTACTACTACTACTACTACTACTACTACTACTACTACTACTACTACTACTACTACTACTACTACTACTACTACTACTACTACTACTACTACTACTACTACTACTACTACTACTACTACTACTACTACTACTACTACTACTACTACTACGACTACTACTACTACTACTACTACTACTACTACTACTACTACTACTACTACTACTACTACTACTACTACTACTACCACTACTACTACTACTGCTACTACTACTACTACGACTACTACTACTACTACTACTACTACTAATACGGCTACTACGACGACACGACGA